AAAATCCAAGATTTGATGATCTTCTTTTTTTTTTTATAATTTCTCATATATTAAATAAGCGAGTAAAAAAAATTGCCATCGACAGTTGAATGCGATTTTTAAGGTAATAATCGATTGGTCTAAACTTTTATGATTTTCAAAGGGTTACGTACTTTGTTTATCTGGAAATTGAAAGTTGCTTTTTGGAAATAATAAATTTTTCATTAAGGATAAAAAGAGAGAAACGTTGTGTAAAGTTCGACAAATTGGAGATTTTTTATGTTTTATAAATTAAAATTCATAAATAAATTCTAAAAGTAGCAACAATAACTTTTTAAAAATAGCCAATTTGGGAAGCGGCGTAACATTACAGAATCATGTGAATAGTTTTATAAATATATTTTATTTTTTGACCCAAGAAAACAACTTTAAAATAAAAAAATACTTATTAGTAAGCATTTGAAAGGTTTTTTTTTTAAAAAAAAATATTTGCAAATAAAATTCAAAAGATAAAAAAATCAAATAATGTCTTTGTCAAACGACCTCAAAGAATTGAAAGACCTGAAATTAAAAATGGATAGGAATGCACGGAGAAGGGAGAGAAGACGCCTCAGAAAATTCCAAAAGACAAAAAAACCACGTCCACCAAACAGTTTTATCTTGTATAGAACATACATGCAAAACACAATAATAAATAAATCCAACAAATCCCCAACAAATATGAGGGTGGCCTCTAAAAAAATATCAGAATTATGGAAGCACGAGCCAAACGCCATTAAAACTTTTTGGTATCAGCTGGCAGTTAAAGAAAAATCAAGAACTTCAGATAAAACAGTGTCAGAAATTGTCAGCTCGTTAAACCTTCCAATGTGTAAGGTTACGTCGTTTGCTCACCTCTCAACAGCAACGACATCTAATTTAGACGAAGAAACATACGAGCCACAAATTACATTTATTATAAATGAAAATAATATCATAACGCAACAGTCGTTTCAAAAATCATTTCAAACCGTGACACCAACCAGTTGCAACAGCAACAAAAATAATAACGGCGATGCCAACTATCATCATAATGCATATCATGAAAATGTTTATTTGTTATCAATGAATGACATGACATCTCCCCCTTCTATATCTCATCCTCATGGGTTTTATTCGGGGCCTTCCTCTTTGGCTCACTCACCCCGTTCCCCATATTCTTCACCATCATCATCCTCATCACCTTACTTTTCGTTGCCACCCTCTCCTCCTCATTTGACAATAGAGTCATTACCAATTTTTTCATGTGAAAAAAACATTTTTTTAAATAGTTCATTCGATAATAAGAACGTTTTAAGAGATCCATGTTTAGTGGAGACTTTTTATGACACCGCAAAATATCACATAGACGATAAAAGTAAAGACGCAAATTTCAACACTTCTCCGTTGATTGAGTTTACTACATGCGAACAAGAGCCTTTGGCGCCATTGTTTGATCTTTTGGATAATAACAATGAAAATATCCAGTAATTGTTATTGATGTAATTACAAGTATAATTTTTTTATTGAATATTTTAAACGCGCAATACAAAACACAAAAAAATGAATTAACTTTCCCTTCTTTATTTTTGTTTAGCATCATTATTCTTAAAATGATTATTTTTTTTTTTTACATCTTCATTGTAAGTAATTAAATACATCTAAGTTTTATATATGTATATATATATCTATCGTTGGTATATTTTTTATTTCTTTTTTGTTATTTGTTATATATAATTAAATAAAAAAAGCTTCAAGCTTCATCAAAAAATTTGCTGGGCATTTCACGTGATATAAATTATACAGTCTGCGCGCGATTGTTCGGGACTAAAAAGTTAATTTCTCGCAAAGAAACTGCTTGATTATACTGATATTAAATGTTTTGACAAAAGCACCCTTTTGTCAATTTGAAAACATTAGATTCTAGGACACGTGTCACAAAGATTTTAAAAACAATTTGTTATCTAGGATTTCGGTCAGGGTTTTGGCCTAGCATTAATGAATTGTATAAAGTGATAAGTGACTAACTGAGCCTTGATTAAAGCAAAGAAGACTTAACTATCTACCATATCGCATATCAAAATTCATACGCAAGAAGAAATAGTACCAGTGAACATAACGCCACAGAATAATTTCCGTGTGTAAAAATGTTCGATACCACAATTGTAATATTGTGTAATAAATGTGATGTGAAATCAGTTATATAATTCCTTTAATCATTCAATCCTTTTCTTTCCCTCCATGCAAGATAATTGGAGTAGTTAGTCCAAACATATAGTAAGTAGATTAGATAAGTGCTGTGTTTCCTTCAATTCTTTCTTTTTATTGGGTTATTTCCCAGTGTCTTTTCCTTTTGCATACAGTTAGTTGTCGGGATTTTTTAACCTGTTAGCGATTTTTATATACTCTCTTTGTCTACCTCCTGTCTTCTTGTAGATAAATAAATTTTTCTTTTTTAAAGGGAACAAGTTGCATTTGTAATCCTAAGACATCCTTTCACAGTAGGCCACTTATTTCCTCCAAGGAAAAGTGAACTACAAAATTCCCAGTTTCCAGTTTTATCCTTAACTTTCTTAATACTTTCTTGCAAAAGTTTCCCATTTCAGCTCAAGTTTCTTCATTCACCTGCTCAATTTTATCGAAGACTGGTTTTTAGACTTAATAACAAGTACCTTTGGATTAAATCACATTTTGGACTATAACGACTTTACCTTTTTAAGCCAGACGCTTGCAACTTTTCTACATTTTCTTGGGGGTGTCTTCTTCTCTTTGACAAATTGATACAAGTTTTTTTATAAATTTGTTTTGAGGAATATACTTACAAGATATTTTTCCCGCTTCCTAAATAATATATAGGACCATCCTTATATAAAATATAATATGAAACTAATTTACATAAAATCCACGTCATAGAATCCCAACCAAGAATTACAGTACTATTAAAAGTACTTTTAAAAAAGCTCCCATATATTTAAATTAACTGACAAGCACTTGAAGATCATCGAAGGAAAATGAAAATTACCTATGAAGTTTACCAAGAAGAAAGAAAAAACAATAAGCATTAGGAAAAGAAAGCAGAATGAAAGTGAGCAATTGCTTAATAAAAATAGAAGAAAAATAATGCGGGATAAAATCTCATGATTACATAACTGTCCTCTCAAGGTAAAATAGGTAAATTATCTATCTTTTCTTTTTAGTTTTTGAGAAAATAATAAATAATAAATAATAATAGCTATAGACTGAATATTAAAGTTGTAACTGCTGACCACAACCAAATAGACTTACCGTTAACCTTTTCTCTCTTTGTATAGGCAATATGTTTGCATTTTTGTTCTGCTGCTACCTTTTCAAAAATCTTCATCCTTTATTTTTTAAGTCACTGGTGCATTCGGAAGCTGGCGTGGCATAAGTTTTATCAAGTAAAAATGTTCTCATCTCATCAACAAAGTAGAAGGGAGAGTGACTGCTGATTGGATAATTTAGCTTGGGGTACTTGGAATTTATTGTATTTTCTTGGTTAACAACAGACTTATGTTTTCCTTTAATGATGTAATCAATTCACTAATCAAATCTTCTTTTAAGGATAGCAGTAATTCTTTAGTGATTGAGAGAGAAAGAAAAGCTGGTCAGAATCATGTGTAAGATACAGCATTGCAGTGTTAATTATTTAGCACAAAACGTCCATGTACCATATTCTGATCAATAGGTAAGATCTATTATTATCTTAGTCCTTGAAAGGTTCATCTATTTGATATTCAAGATGAAGCAGCTCATGATCAAATTAACTACACTTTGACGAGAATGAATTGATAGGAAAGGATCTAATGGCACAGTTAGTTTGAAATTAAGAAGGTGGAAAGCATCTGAAGACTACCCTGTGATAATGCTGGTGAACAGGCAAAATAAGAATAATATAACTGTTTGATTTTATTGTTCTAATTGTTATGAAAAAATTTCATGATTCCTGGGCATGTCAAATTAAAATGTGATGGCAGTTTTGGATTGATTAAAAAATTATATCAAGATACAAGCGGTATAGATTGTGGATGTTGTGAAAAGATACAATGTTATGATAAAAGTGGGAAAGACTTTGATATTAAATCTATATTTAAAAAGTTGGATGGTATTATAAAACTTCAACATTTTCTTTTTGAAGATTCTAATAAAAAAGTCCAATGGGCCATTTAATGAATTCAAATTATCAAAAACCGGAAAACATATTGAAGGCTTATCATTTCCAGCATCAGCACCCACTCCGATGGACCTCTTAAACATCCTTACAATATATCCATCCTTTTGCCAGATATGAATTTAAAGATACTATTTGTCCAAAACCAATCTAATCTGCACTGCTAATGAATCAAATAATTGCCTCATCAAAGAAATGGTCAAGGGGAAACCTGCTGATTTGGATGACAGCTATCTAAGCCATTTCTTCTTTGAAAAAGAGTTTGTCTTTTGGAGGTTAAAAGCTTTTGGAAAAAAGGGATATTAAAATATTGGTGAGATCCTACTTTGATCCAATGATGGGTGCAACCAAAATAAACACCAACTGATTGATGAAAATACCCTTACATTGATGACGAAAATGAAAAGAAAAATATTGAAAAATTAGTTAGTGAAAAATTATCAAAATTAATGAAAAATGAAAAATGAAAAGTTTACTTTATTTATCGTTATGTAGCACAACAAATTTTTTTTGCACATAATTTAAGTTAGGGTTGAGTTGATCCGTTCTCAAAAGACTGGACTGGTTTACTGAATCAATAGTATTTGATGAGAATTACATACTGCGAATGCATCCTTTCGGTCAGTATCGACTATTTTACGTTTTATGGCCGAGTTTAACTTTTTAGCTAAATTCGTCGATTAATTTCAAGCTTTTTATGTATAATGCTCGTCAATTAATTAACGTAAAAAAAAAAATACTGTACTTCAATCAAACCCGCCGATATGATTATTGAATAATTGATGAACATTCGTTTTGCAGGCTTCATAGATCTTGTCTAACACTTACTTTGATCAAATCCGCCTATATGATTATTTAATAATTGATAAAGTGTTCATTAAACATATTTTACAAACAGCTTCATAGATCTCGACTTAACACTTACTTCGATCAAACCCACCTATATGATTATTGAATAATTGATAAAACGTTCATTTGCAAAACTTGATTTGCAAACTTCTTAGATCCTGTACACTTACTTTGATTGCACCTATACAAACTATTGAATAATTGACAAATGTTCATCAGTATATTTTACAAACTTCTTTGGAAGCTTTGTACGTTGTCATACATCTTGCATTTAACGTTACTTCCACAAACTCGCAACCTATCATCAACTCTACTTTTTTCTATTGAATTATTTTGAATTTTTATTTTTTAGATTACACAATAAAAATTATGGAATAGAATTTGTTCAATGAAATGTTGCAAACTGTATAAATCTCATACACAACTTGAAAAAAGTTGGCATATAAGACTCACTTTTCCATTACTAGTACTCATCTCGGGATACAACCATGTGACTCACTTAAATGTGTTATTAAAGTCCAGCAAGTGAGATAGTGAAACCCTTGCTGGTGGCTCATGCTGGATGTATTGACCCTTCGTGACATAACCTCTCTCTTTTGTTAATTTTTATTGTTTATTTTATTTAGATAAAAATTCATTAATTGGTTTGATTGGTTACATTTGTAATATATGATTATCCATCAATTATGAGAAAGCGTTATTATTATAGCAACAAGTAACAAACAACAATGAATCATCATTTTTTGAGGATGATAATAAAGATTAAGATCCGATTTTTGTCACATGAAATACTCAAATTTTTCAAAAAAAAATGTGGGGACGACTTTCCTATTTGGATTTAATAAATAGACTACTGTCTTGACGTGAATGATGCATTTTTTTTGCTCTTTGCAATCCCAATCCCAACTTAAAATAAATGAATTTTTGTTCTTGCGTAGACATGTGACATAGCCCCATTCGTTTTTATAATTAGTATTAGCGGAACAAAAATAATTAAATTCGTTGTTATTTGTACCATAAAGTGTGCTTACAGATTCGCCGAAGCTTTCTAGGTACAAGAAAGAGACAGTAAGCAGGATAATTTCGTAAAATAAACAAGCTCACAACTGAGAACGCAATGTGAGCTTTTGCTGTGTTACCAACCATGCACACCATGCCAACATATGTTTGTACGGCACTTTGATAAATCGGATTTTATTTATTTATTATTATTAATTTAAAGAACCAACACAAACCGTAATTTAAGTCATCACTGCAATATAATAATTAAGGAAAATTGTTTAAAGTCATATTCCTATATATGAGGAACTCACTTTTTTAATAATTCGGTAAATGACATGAACACAGTTCACTATTTTGTAACGAACATTGTCAGCTCAATTCTCTCATACTTCTTGGTATTAATCTTCTCGGGAATCTGGGAAAAGATAAATATGTATGATTGAGCCTATCT